ACTACAAACCAAGGATGCTCCAAGTGATGATAATTTGTGACCCAGAGCCAGTGCACACTGGGACAGATGAAAACAACTTGATCCAAAGCTGCTATTGGGGATCTGACATGTTTATCTATTTGGCCCACATGGGGCTGTGTCTTCTAGCACTGACAGCTCCTGCAGGTTGGCAGCTTTTCAAAAGCTTGTCAGGCCTTGATAGCATTCCTATTCCCGCGGAGCTGGGCGGGTTGTGCTGCAGATTACACCGTGATAATCGCTCTGACATGTAACCCTGTGTGTACTGTTAGCACAGCCACAAAAAGGGGCACCACTGCTTTGCAGCTGTTTACCCACTGTTTACCCAGCTGACAACATTTTGTATTTCCTATTTATTTAGCTTAAGGACTAAAATAGAAAAGGCTTTAAGCAAACTTGCAAGAAAATTTGATGTACGAAAGTAATGGTTCCAGCAGGATCCCAGAGCCTGGTGTTCCTACAGAATTTCTTCTCCAGCTTTCTAGCTTCTCATGCTTTTAAGCATTCTTTTGTTTTACACAGCACTTCAGGGGGTAATGGCACAGAGGCCTTCAGTAGAACTGCTTTCTTTCACTGACCATCTTTATTTCACTCATAGGAAGAAATCACAATTCTTCCAGTTTGCAAACAGCTTGCAGAATTTGTCAGGCATGTGAGGATCTTTCAAAAAAAGACTGTGGCGCTTGATAATGCTGCTCCAGCAACAGAAGATAAAGGCTTCTGTACAGGAAAACTTCAGAGAAAATATATCCCTGCTACAGAAAGATGATTATCTGTTGCAAAATTTTATATATTTATTGACTATAATCACTTTAGCTTTCTGCATTCGCCTGTCATTCTGGAAGAATTGCTTATTACACTGTGGTACTTATTGTTGCTTTATAATGAGGTTTTCAAGCACTGGAAACCGGACAGATTTTTTTTCAAGCTGCCAGCTAAGGAAGTTTTCAACCTATTACACAATATATTGAATAACAACTATAATATATTAAGAAATTTGGACTCCACCAGAACTATTGATTTATTTCATAAGGAAGAATACGCCAGAAAATAAAGCCGTAACTTAATATATGTAAGTCAAATTAACTAATTTAGGTAATAAACAGGTTTTTAAAAGGAAGTTATTAAATTATATATATGTATACATTAGAGAAGAGAGCAGGATGCAATGCTTTGGATGCTTCTTTGAATACTATTCCAGAAATGTCTTAATAGAGAGCTTCAGACTCTAAAATATAATCTTGCCAAGTAATTATATTCACATATGAGAATAAATTGTTGGGGATTCTGACTTGGCTTTTGAAGGTACCAGTAGCTCCTAACAAAACAAATATCTGAAATTGAGAGCTTTATTGAAATAAGATGAATCTACCCAGCACAGAGCATTTGAAAGTTAATGTTCAGCTTTGTTTTAAAGAAAGGAAACCCTAAACTAAGAACAATCTTGCATTCTAGTCTCAAAGTTTGTGGAGTTGTGTTTTTTATGTTTTATTACATTTGTATTATGTATAGGTTTGTTCCATGTACCCCCGGTTCTGTAATGGTTTCTCCACGGGTTTTCCCGCCTTTCCCTCGCATGTCCGTTATCCCCAAAAATGCTAAGTCATCCCCCTGTTTAGCCCAGATGCCTGTCTGTCACTCGGTGTCCCTTCCCATCCACCTAGAATCTTCCACCCTGGACGCCGGGTGATTGGTAAAGGACCTGGGACCCTTCCCCTGTCTGTCCTTCATTGGATGTACCCCCGTATCCCACCACCCTTGAACTCCCTGCGGTTTTACCCCATTGGCTGTTCGGTTTTCCCCCATTCCGTATTTAGTTCGTTTGCGCGGTTCGTTTCCTGCTTTCTTCTGGCTGGCTCAAGCGCGTTCCGCCCCACCCGTGCCTTTCCAGCAAATGCCGGCGCAGCACGCCTGGTCCCCTTCAAGTTATTGTATTCCCCGTTGGATTACAATAAACTGAATTCGCCCCCAGAGAAAGACTCTCCTCTTAATTCGCCGTGGGGTCGCTGACTGCTCTCTGGAACTCCAATAGTGCTTCCCAAAGCCCGCGAGGGTCCAGCGAGAAGCGCTAGAAACCTGCCCGCCCCTCTCCCCAGAGCTAGCCGGGGCTGAGGAAGGGCGTCGGGGAGAGGAGCACAGACAAAAGTTGTTATACTTCTCTTGGCCCCTCAGCTTGCCACCCTCCTTCCTCCAAGTCATTAATAAACACATCATTTATAGGCAGAACGTAATATTCCAATCAATTTCTACTTGTTTTAGTGGCTGTGTGTAAGCAGATTATTTTTTCCAGACAACTCATACTCCAGAGGAGTACGAAGGACACACTTCAGACCCTTGTAGTCCCAACATGTGTGGTTTCCTCACGCTGGGAAAGCCTGGAAGCCAGCCGCCTGGCCTGGTGCCAACCAAAACTACGGTCAGTCTAAACACAGCACCGGCAAGTGCTCTCTTGGACACTTCCCTGCTACTGTAGAGTATTCTCTAGCATCCTCCTCAGCAACCGAGATTTTTACACAGTTCCTCAGGCTATTTCCTTCATCTCATCCCTTTCCTCCACTGACAAGATTCAACCAGCCAAGCGCAGTGGAATTAAAGAGAAGCACTTGTGTGACATTACCTTGTGTTACCTGGGCGCTTACACAAGAAGATACATTTTCAAAGTTTTTGAATGCCCAGGTGTTGGGAAGGGTAGATAAATATGATTGAGAACCACAATAGCACAGCCAGGATGAATATAACACCCCCTACTGGCTGGACAATAACCCTCACCTACAGAGGGGGTCTAAAAGCCAAATGGACTGTTCCATCTCACCCCCCAGAATGTTGGGTTCACCCCACAGCTGTAACCCTCCCCTGAAACATCAAGTGTCTGTGACCCCATTGGCCCAGGTCCTGTTCCAGCCCACCTTGGAGCCCCCCTTGATAAGGGGTCTCCGCGGGGCCGGACGCCCTCTTGGATCTTCCCCTCTCCTCCTGGAACTTCCTCCAGGAGTCCCTGCTCCCCTCTTTGTCTCTCCCCTCCCCCATCACCTCAGGCCCAGCCACGTGCTGCTACACAGCACGAGGCAGGGCCACAATGCATCCTGAATAAACCTCACCCCCCCCCAAGAGCAACCAACAGAGATCTCGCTTATATCCGTCCGTGGAAAACCCAATTAAACGTCTTTACACCCAGGGAGGCCCTGGAAATCATCACACCAGGATGCTCTGCAAGGCTTCTCAAGTCAGTTCTTCCCACTTAGTTATATTTATCCTCACGTGATTTTTTTCTGAGAAATTAAATATCATCTGAATAGTTGAACTGCTACTAGTTTACTACTGAAAGAAGTAGAAGTATTTGAACCTGCACACATATTTAGTCTAGATATGCAAGTGGTTAGGAATTTTATTCCCTCCTTTCAGGTTACCACAGATATGTAAGCATACATTCTCTATTCATCTTAGGAAAGGCACATTTTCCTTCCAATACAGAGTCTTTTCTCTGTAATATCTATATCACTGTCTGACTGCAGGTTAGTTCTCCTGGTTCTGTGTTCTGCTCTTCTTGAAAAGCACAAGGTCCATAATGATCAGTGGTGGTTTGGCCAAAAGCAAAATGTCACCAGCTTGGACTGAGGGGTGGCTCACACAGGGTGCTGCCACCTCCAGCAAGGTCTGGGCTCATAAAGCCCCACTGAACATAATGGGAAGTGACAGAACTCAGCATCTCTCAGGAGGCAAGCAGCATCCCACAGAAAGAGAAGTCTGCTTTTCACACACAAAAAACCTTGCTTTCTGCAGAATGCCTACACCAAAAATAAATTTGTTGTCTGAAAATTTGCAATTATAATTAGCAGTGCTGTTATTAATGCAATATCCTGAGGGGGTGGTGGATTTTGAGTCTATTGCTGAGATGACAGAAGCAAGTTAAGTGCTTGATAAAGCATCCCAGGAAGAAATTTCCTGAAATACTCAGAATCTAAGTTTTACAAAAGTGGCATGTGCAGCATTGCTGAAGTCAAGATGAGGAACAAGATATTCTGCTTGGTACTGTATCTCTTCTATACAATGATGGCAAGTGTTGCTCTCAAACATGTGGGCAAAATAGTCTCTTGTTCCACCTGTTCAGCCCCTGCATGCGATCACATTAATTCAGGGTCAGTTGCCTCTTCAGAGCTGGCAGCAGAATGCAGTAATTTAAAACCCCCCTCTGGTGCCTAAAGAAAATACCAAACACAGCTGAGAATTCAAATTTTCTTCATATCTGGAAGAAGCAGGAAACCAGTTTTCATGTGTTCCCGTGCAAGCATCTGGTTTTCACTCGTAGCAGTCACCTGCGCTTACAAAAGCTCCAGTTCACCATATCTACTAGAAATATTGAAGGCTAAATTGTCATCTTATTATCTCAATTTAACACATTGTCACTGGGCCCGGGCAAGGGACTACAGCAGATCCCAGTGGAAGCTTTTCCTATAACTAGTAATTCTAGACATTAACAGAAATGCTAAAATTGCCACTTACATTTTACTATAATTTAAACCATCTAAATTGCCTCTGCTCTGTTCAGTATTGCAGTAAAGCAATCCTAGTGATGCCAGGAAGCAATGAAAGAGCTGTCTTCAGTTATTTCCTTCCAAATGCTTTTGAATGAGGAGGGTAACCATGACCAGAGAAGTTGAGAAGCAAACACTCTGAGCTACATTTTTCCTGTTTGGTGATATTTTGATGCTGTTTTCATGAACTGCAGGGCTCTTCCACATAGCTAATCTCTTGCAGGTCATCAGTCACACAGGAGATCATATAGCATGAGAAATTCAATTGATGAAAGATAATATGTATAACTGTGGGAGGTGAGATTACCAAATATTGCTAAATTGCATTGCACAACGAATCTGCAGTTACCCTGTGAAGAAATGAATAAAAAAACCACAAAACAAAACAAACAAAAATAGAATTTAACAAAATTTCACTTAGGAGATAAACTCTGTAGAAAGCCCACTGACCTTTTTTACATTTTTGTTTACATCAACCAAGTTGAACTGGAAGATGTGGTCCTTCGTCCCAACTAGCAGCCGGCCCCTCTCCTCATCTAGGAGCAGGGTTCGAAAATCAAGTCCCTCTGCTGAGCCCAGGAATGGGATGCAGCTGTTTGAAAGCAGCAAGACTGTGGGAAAATGAAGAAAATCTTTATAATCAAAATGTTTATATATGACTCATCAGTGTCTTTTATAAATATATGCAACTATAAATATATGCAACCAGCATGGAGTATACCAGCGAGATAAGTGCAGTCTTGGAGTATGACTTTCCAGAGTAATAATACAGTTCCCATTAACTTTGGGGTTCTCTGGGCTTTTTTTTTTTTTTTTACTTCCAAACTGGGTAATATTTACTTTCACAAAATATTTTTCTATGTAAAATTTTCTTTATAATTATCTGTATGGTATAGAAGAATCAGAAATTCAACATCAATTAGAAACCACTAAAGACAGATCTTTGCAAAATGTGTGCTATATCTTTCCTTCTTTCTAAAAAACTAATTACATTTATATTATCATACACATGCTCAACGATCAATACCTCACCATATTTGGTGCTCCAAATATAAAGCAGCAAAAAAAGTCAATGCCAGCCAAGAATAATTAGGAGTAGGAAATAGTGGATAGGGACATTTGAAGATAATCCAGTTCAACTCCCTCAGTATGAGGACAAACATCTTTCACTAGATCAGCTTGGTCAAAGCCCCACCTAACATGGCCTTGAACACTTCCAGGGATCGGGCATCCACAACTTCTCTGGGCAACTTGTACCAGTTTCCTACCACTCTCATAATGGAAAATGTCTTTCTTATATCCCGTTTCTATCTACACTCTCACAATTTAAAACTACTGTCCCTTGCCTTGTCAATAAAGACTTTGGAAAAAAATTATTGCTCATATCTTTTACAAGCCCCCTTTATATATTGGAAGGCTACAATTAGGTCTCCTCAGAGCCTTCTTGTTTCCTGGTGGAACAACACCAAACTTCTCAGCCTGTCCTCATATGGAAGGTGTTACAGCTCTCTGACCATTACCAGGGCTCTTCTCAAGGTTCATTCCAAAGTTCATGTCTTTCTTGAACTGAATGCCCCAGAACTGAATGTAGGTGGGGTCTCACCACAGCAGACTGCAGAGGCAGATTCCCCTCCCTCTATCTGCTGAACACACTTCTTGTGGTACAGCCCAGGGTACAGCTGGCTTTGCAGGCTGTGAGCACACACTGCTGGCTCATATCCATTTTTTTTTTTTTTTCATTTACCAGTATTGCCAAATCCTTGTCTGCAGGGCTGCATTCAACCTAGTCATCACACAATCTATTCATCATCCAGTCTGTGTTGATATCAAGGATTGCCCTGACCCAGGTGTAGGATCTTGCACTTGGCCTTGTTGAACTTCACATTGCTTACACAGGCCTCCTTCTCCAGCCAAACAAGGGATCTTCAAAGACAATTTATTCCAATTAAATGAGAATGGTATAGTAAGGGGAACATCCAGTAGCAACACTTCTAAGATCCCTATTAAAATAAAAAATTTGACACTAAATTTTTACTGCGAATTAACAGTAGATTCAAATATCTTTCAAAAGGTAATTAAGAAAAAAATGATGCTCTGTGAAACTAATGAAAGAATCTATAAAACTGCAAAAAAAATTCTGTAACATTCTGCCTAATGAATATTCTGTGGACATAATTCTGTATGAGGACACAAACAACATAGAGAAAAGAGCACAAGGATAGTTAAGTCTTGTTAGGTAGTCATGACTTTGGGGAAAAGAAAATAAACATGTGAATCAGTTCTTCCACAAGCAAACTCTCCAAGCTAAACTATTCAGAAATCATCAGATAGAAAGGCAAATCCTGTATTTAACTGACATAAAATTAAGGGTATTTCCACCTTCCTGGCACTGGATGGATAATGTAGCATTCCTGCTAGAAAAGCCAGACTTACTGCAAAAGTCATTTGCACATCCTGATCATTATGAAAATTAGGGCCAGTGTTTTGGAAAAAAAGTCTTAAATGAAATAAAAGGAAAAAAACCCCACCCAAACATTTTTCTCCACAAACCATATGACAGGCAAAAATATTAAGTTCTGGTGCTACCTAATAAACAGCACTCTGGAAGGAAAAATATTTTATCATTAATAATCTATCTGGAATATAATTATGATTATTTTTTTGGCTCAGTCACTTCTACTTAAGTTTGTGTGCATTTGTCTGGCTCAGTGCAGGGTGTTGTTAAGGTACAATCTGAAAACAGATTGTCATGCACTGACACTCCTAGTCCCCTAGGTGAGATTTATTTGGCAGTTCTTTGGAAAAAAAATCCTGCTTCACATTGAAAAATGATATCCTATGCTAGGCATTACACTGCTATACATCAGCACTGTCCTCTCTCACATATATTTTGTGAAGACAAAGATGTCAGGGTTTGTTTTCTAAACTAGTAACACTTTAAAAGCTTTGTTTATTAATTGCTAGCAAGATCACTTAGGAGCAGCTTATGGTTAAGATGGTACTATAAAAACCTCAGTCCTCACCTGTAGGACACAAATAACTAACATACAGAATATGAGGGAAAATTCCTTCCCATCTGCAGACACAGGCAATTTGATCTAAGGAAGGATAAATTATATGCTTGTGCAAATAAAAGCACGGGCCTTCGCAAGAGTGTCAATTGCAAAAATATGTGGATTTGATTCTCATCATACATGAAGAACGATGTCTGAGACTGCTCTCTACTTCCCATTTCCTTCTTGTTTGAAAGGAAGATCTCTGAAACGTCTATTCCAAATGGACATTTCTCATCTGTTGTTTAAGAGTTCCAGAATTTATCAGTAAAAAACCCCACCTAGAAGAGCTACAACAGTGAAGGAAAATGCTGCCTCATGACTGAAATGCCCAAGTGGGAATAAGCCCTGTGTGATGCTTTGTACAATCATTTATTTCACTACATCATAAGGAAAACATCCGCAGAGTATTCCAGATTGAAATGACAACACTACTTCTCCTTTCTTACTGATGTAGATGACAACACAAGCTGCAAAGCAATGAAGAACCAGGTTTGGCCAGTCATTTACTATTGAAAACAGCTTGGGAGTAAAAGTCTGAGCATGACCATTGATAAGATTGTAACTGTAACATGACCTAATAAAACTTCACAAGTAAACATTAACAGAGGGTTGATTAAATTGCAGCCAAATTAATCACTGGTCACACTTCATAAAACAACACAATCCAATCTTATGTGTTGATATTTCCCTTCACAATGAGACATATTTACTATCACTGAGGATATTACACTGGAAAAATGTACTGTGAAAAGCACATTTCCCAATGATTTTCAAGCTTAGAGCAAGCTGTCAGTTTGAATCACTGCATCTCTGTAGCCTGGCTAACACAGAACAAGCATTCTCACAAGTAACAAAGTTAGCTACAGGGATGGCCTTTCATGAGTACATGTTCAGCACTCAGTTTTATAGTCTCATTTTGCTGTTTTCCTCCAAATTAAATCATTTTTTCCAGCTTGGTGATTAAATAAGCATCCAGCTAACTCCCCTTCTGGGTTAATATTTCACTGCTGAGTGGTAGAAGCTGGAATAGTGACTGGGTTTTATTTATTTAGCACAGTATCTCAGTGGACTTGGCTTAAAACAGCATGGTCATTGCTTACTTAAAAAATATCCAGCAGCATAGCCACAGAAAAGGCTTCAAGAGTAAAAATGTCATTCTGTTTTGATAACACATATTTGTATTTATAAAACATATTTAGACTTCTTAGCATCAAGTCACATGTGTGGTGATCATGCCACCATTCCTCAACTCCAGCATGGTGCAGGAATGCAGCAATGTGGAACCAGCTTGGCTGAGACTCAGAATTCCCTTTGTGACCAGTTACAGACATTTTTTAAAGACAAGCTACAGCTAAAATAGCAGAAAGAGAACATCTCAACATCTTTCAAAACAGTTACATCTAATGACACCTTTGAAGGACGCTGAAACTAATGGCTGTATAAATTTCAAAATATATACAGCAAAAAACAGATGTTGCCTCACTTTCCTTTAGGTAGGATCAAGTCCTTTCTCATGTTGGAGAGTACACATAAAGATTTACATGGGCACTGTAGAAATTCTCAACCAAACTTTTCAGATAAAGTATTTATAGCATGACTGCAGTGATTTATCCAATTCCTAAGGTATTCTGAGTGTAAAATTGACCAGATGACCCCAGATGCATTGGTACAAAGGCAAAGAGAATAAATACTTCGAAACTACTACGAATCTCTACTATTACTGCAAGGTGTAAATTATATTTTTTTAGCTGCATCTCACCATGGGTAAAGCTGTGCATGCAAAGTGGCTCTCATTGCTATACAATCTTATACAGCCCTGGTGGAAAAGTTTATATTCATAGACCAGCAGGGCCTCTCCAAAAGGACACAGATAACCAGGAAGTGAGAAAACAGAAAAATTACTTTCTGCTGTCCCAATTTTGTGTCAAAACCTTGGTTATGGGAAGCCAAATAAAGATGTATTAAATCACATGTTTTGCAGTTAGAGACTTCTCTGTCTTCATCTTTTAGGACTGATTGTTCCCTAGGAGCATATAAAAGTGACTGTGTAAAAAAAACTTTTCCAAAGATGGCTAAAAAAAATTCAGAAGTACTCTGCTCCAAAATGTCAGGTACTTCAGGGCATTTTCACTTCAAACTTCAAGCATTTCTATGGAAATGCTCAAGAGACAGCATACTTAATATATCCAACATCTCTGTTTGCAAAGAGTCTTTATTTCAGATAGAAGTATAGGAAGGACATTCTCTAAGATACAGAGGGTTATGTACAAGAAATGACACATTACAGGCAATTTGAGAAACTTATCTTCTTTTATTAGTTTCTCAAACATAGATATTCAAGTATTATTTAAAAGCAGACAAGCAACTGGGGGGATTCTCTAAACTAAGGGTAATTCTCTAAACTAAGGGTTTAAACTAATCTAGTCTAAACTCAAGGCCACTCAGAGAAGTGTCTGCACAACGAATCCATGTGCTGCAGCATCTTCCTTCTGCAGGAGCAGGAAAGCAGCTTCAGGATTGCCAGGGACAAATGCAACCATCACAAAGAGTCCACATCGCAGCAATCAGCTATGAACTTCTCCATCAGAGCTTTGTGCAGGGAACTCCTCTCAGTGTTGGAGAGCAGCATCCAGAGGCGAAAGTACAGCTGCTCACAAGCCTCCATCACCTTTCTGTGGGCATCTGGATCTCGGGCCAGGTACTCAAAGAGGTTGAGCGGCTCAACCTTTCGCATTGCTGGCGGCAAGCTGATCTCTGCAGGAAGCTTCTCATTGCCTAGAACAAAATGGCCCAGGTGTTTCCATTTCAGGCAGAACTTCAGGAACACCATGATGTCCCACAGCCGCAGTGGAAATTCCTTCCTGTGCCAGTAGACCTGCGGTATGATGTTTAACACGTGCATGACCAGAGTCTTCCAGGTAGAGGTGGAAAAACCTGTGCCGCTCAGCATGCAGGTGAAGAGCTGCAGGTATTTCAGGTGCAACCTCTTACACGGTATCTGCCTGGCAATGTGCTGGAAGAATTTTGCTTCTGCCACAGCGAATGTCTCAGGCCACGCTGTGCTTGCGAGGTTACTGGAGTTGCCTTTCTGGGCCTCTGTGGGCTGGTTGACCACAAAGATGTCAGAGTCCCCTTGGCGCACACCAAAAAGCATCTCCACTGACAGGGTCCTCTTGCCTCTGCTCAGCTGGAATTGGCAGGACCAGCTGCAGGGCTGAAACACCAAGTGCCATGAGTATGACTGAGGCACATGCAGCCACGAGCATCTCACCATCTGGAAGAACCAGTGGGAGGTTTTCTCCACATCCAGGTAGGAGACGGTGCAGAGTGTCTCCAGGAGGCTGCGCTGCTGCTTCCGCCGCAGCTCCTCCTGCGAGTGGTGCAGGAGGCACAACAGCTTCTCGCCCAGCTGCTCCCTCTCGCATGTACACACCAGCTCCACACGGACGCTGAAGGTCCTTGCTGCCCTCTGCCCTGCAGTGTTTGGCTCTAGGTGGAAGGTGTGCCCTGGCGGGGGATTCAGTGGGACCAGAACATGGTACACCCCATCCCACTCATGGGGACTCCAGCCCTCAAAGGCGCTGCCCACCCCAATGGCTTCTTGAGGCACAGGCTTGAAGCTATTGCTCACGCTGTCCACAAAGACACGCGTGAAGCTCTCCATCAGCTCAGCTATCACTGAGCAGCCTCTCTCCAGGTCCTCCACAGGCCACTCTATACCATCCACTAAAAGGATGTCCTGCTCATTCCCAGCATCTTGGGTGTCTTCTCTGTCTTCAAGTCCACCACTGGCACTTTCTTCCCTGCCACCATCACTGCCACCTTTTTCACTGGCAGCCACATTACCTTGTTCCTCTTCTTGTCTATCCTTATTCTTGTTTCCCTCCACATTCACATCAGCCTGTTCTTCATCCTTGTTTCTATCATTGCCATCTTCTTCTATCACATCCTTATTTGCTTCCTCAGGTGCAGGAAAACCACTGTGGGCAATTTCATTCCCACATTCATTGCTATCTTCCTGCCCAGTCCAGTCTTTGCTTCTCTGGTCATTGGCACCTCTGCTTTCCTGCACCTTCACATCCATGTATTCTTTCGTTCCATCTACATTGTCTTCACCTTCATTTACATCAGTGTTGTTGCTTGCCTTTATAGTCGCACTATTGGTTTTTTTTTCATTTCCTTCTCCTTCTTCCTTTCCAGTGTCCTTGTCTTGGTCCACCTGCACATCCTTGTTTTCTCCTTCATTTGCCTCATCTAGATCTTTATTACCAGCAACATTGCCAGGTTCTTCTTCATTTCCTTCAGCGATAGTGTCTCCTGGCACATCCCTATCACTCTGTCCTTCTTTCTTTAAGTCATAGCCATTGCCAACATCGCTGTCTTCCTTGACATCATAAGTGCCACTGTTGACATCGCTGTCTTTGTTCATCTTCACATCATAATTGCCTTCAATGGCATCATCCTTATCTCCGTCATCTGCAGCCACAGGACTGCCTTCTCTGTCATTTTCAGTGCCGCTGTCATCTGCCTCCAGAGTCATATCACCGTCTTCTCCACCTTCCTCTGGATCAGCGGTGTCTTTTTCCTGTTCAGTTATTCTCTCATCTCCCAAAGTCTTGCAGGAGCTCTGGTCCTTGCTGCTGCTTCTGGCCTCACAGCTCCTTCTCCTGCAGCCCAACCACAGGCCCAAGAGGAGCAGGACACCAGCAAGAACCCAGAATGGCCACTGCTGCAGGGCACCAAAGAGCACGGCTCCCCAGCCCTCGTCCTGCTGCTCCAGGGGCCCCTGCTCCAGCTCCTGCAGCAGCCGGGCCATCTCACGGTCCAGTAGCTCCTGATGCTCACACATTCTCTGGTGTGTGGCCTCATCCAGCCCATCCCCAGCTGGCTGGGGGTACTGGATCAGGCTTTGCACAAGCACGAACAGCAGTGACAGTAAAGCCATGGTCTGCAGGAGGACACACAGAAGGGGTTCAGTGGGGCCAGAATGGAGACAGAGTGAGGGGCAGGAGCGGCAGGGATGTGGTGGCAGGAAGGAAAGGGTCCCCGGCAACTGGCAAGGCTGCACTGCTGCCCCCGCGAGCACCGCGCCCTCAGCAAGGCACTCCTGCCGGGTGCTGGGCCCTGGAGACAGGGCAGCCCCGGGTACGGGTGCTCCTGTCCCAGCCCTCCTCCAGCTCCCTCTCCCCTCTGCTGTGTACTCACCGCTTGCCGAGGCTCTACTGGGGCAGCGGCACCGGCTTGGGGCCTTTTATAGTTGCCCCCATTGTGACACGGCCCCTGTGCTGTCACAGAGCCCAGAGCGCATCACAGGCCAGCCCCTCCCGCCGTCCCAGCCTGGTCATGGAACTCATCATGGCCCCAGGCACCCAGAGCCCCAACAGACACCGAGTGCAGACCCATCACTCGGGAACCTGGGAACCCCAGAGCTTCCCTTGGCAAAGCAGGCACAAGCACCCTGCACACAACCCTTGTCAAATACAGATTTGGGTGACATGATCCATGGATGTTCTCAGTATACAAGTGTCGGCTTTTATTTAATACTGGTGGGGGACATTTTTTATTAGTAGTATTTATACTTATTACTTTGGGGCAGGATGTCATGTAAGCTAATGCTCTGTTACAGATTTTGTGAGAAATCTTTCTGAAAGAAATCCAGGTTGCATGGATGATGCACAGGAAGATTTAATACCATCCTAAAAAGGCCAAATAAATTAATTACAAAATTTTGATGCCTTCAATAACCTCTTAGCTCTCAAACTCTGTGGTTCAACACCATGTAAAATTCTGGTATAAGCAGGATTTTGTTCAGAAAGTAGTTCTGCAAAGATATACTTCTGTCACTCCCCCCATCTTCAAAACTGTCTCCCTTAAACAGAGTTAGACAATCTCTCTGACATATAAAGGAACTTCTGTCTCTTTCTGCTATCTCTTTGTGTATTTATCTCCAAAGGACTGTGAGTACAGGAGAGATTATACTTCTCAACCTTTCTTTGGGGAACTCATCTATAAATGGAACTGCAGAAATGGGGAGGGAGGAAAGGGAAACAGGATGTGACTTGAGTACCTGCATAGTGACCACAGACGGCCACTGCTAGACAGACACTGAAGTCAGGTGGATCACGCCCTCCCATTGGTGTGTAGAAGGAGAACAATGTTGGGATTGCTAAAACTGCTCTGAATTGGATTTGCTTAACAGATGTCATTAGCTAAAGCAGTCAAATAAAGCGTTTCAAACCCTTTTCCAAGCTGATGCCATTTATGATGTATCTTCCCCGCATTCTTGTAGGGAAGCTGTTTTTGATGTTGTCCCATCCTTCTTTTTCCATGGGAGAAAAAATTATTTGCCAAGTATCACTCTTTCAGTTTTGTTTCTTCTCATTTTCCAAGATTTAATAAAGCAAACACTGAGCAGAATAGTTCCGTATTTTTCGAACACAATTCTTTTACCAAATTGAGGCGCTTCTGTGACCATTGAAACACAAAAACTGTTGTGAGTTACAGTTTACACTTAAGAGGTTGATATGGGTCAGTTCTCCAAGGTTATTCTTAGTTCAACTGCTATGTAAACTGTTGATGTCAGTGACTGGAAGCTGCTCTCCAGGACATTATATATATGATAATTATATGACAGAAAATGCAACATATAGTTGAATGTGACCTTCAAGTTCACTAGCTTAAAAAAAGAAATAAAAAGTCTGCAAGAAATTTGCTGGGTTTTCTATTTATAAATGCCTTCACATTTATATTTAGTTTATGCATATACAATAGACTTTCCTTGCATGGGCAGCAGTGCCCATCCATCATAAAGCTAGGGTATATTATAAGTCTCAATGCTCACTGCCTCCAGAAAGCATTTTGAGACAAAACAGACAAAGTTTTTTGCATAAGTATACAATCTTCCAATAGTAGGATCTTCATTCTCACATAAACACTTCATGTTTTTCCTCAAAGGAATCAGAGATAATTTTTCTGAGAAATAACAAACCATCAAAAATTAATTAAATAACAAATAAGAGGAAAACACCACTTCTTCACTCAACACACTTTCCTTGATTTTCATAAGCATTCAGATTTACAGCTGCTGATACTACCACAGGAGTAGGGTTTTCTCTGGTTTTCCTTCCTCTTCCAGCAGAGCAAGCACAGCTGCAAAATAAAAACTCATTTCTAGGCTCTCCTATACATCACCAGTTGACCACATTCCAACCAGTCATAGTTGTGCAACACCCTGTCAGGGTACTGGGACTACTGCAGTGTCACAGACATTTTAAGTGAGGCTCAAGGAGCTGTACATAATTTTAACTATGTTTTTATGGGTAATTAAATGATGCATGACATGTAAATAAGCTAGCTGTACTGAAACTTAACTAACTAACTGCTCTGATGCAACAGTCAAGCATCTCATCAGTTATAAAATGAATCAGGTTTAAAGCAAAAACAATATAGAGAACAGAATGCATGACATTGTAAAGTAGCATGTTCAAAGGACCATTTCTGAACATTAAGCAAGTGTACTCATCCAGTCAAATTTTCAAAAGAATTCCTGGCACCAAAATATTCTCTGTTTGCTTTTTCACCATGTTTAAAGAATGGATTACTCTTAGGGGGAAGAAAATCTTGTGCACGGAACACTGCATGAAACTAAACAATCCTTTAAACTTGGCTAATTTCCATGTGGAGCTGATGATTTAGCACTGTCATCCTTCAGCAGAGGAGAAAGAACTGACTGTCTTTAGTTTACTTATGCAAGCTGAAAAAAGTGAAGAGTGTGAATTTGATCTTGCTTCAATTTACTTCAGTGGCCAAACACTTGCCATTACTTCAGTGGGAGTGAGGCTGCATCTTAATTCTTTCAATGAGGAGAAAAACAAATCAGCTGAGAAAAATGTTCTTGTTTATTAGATTTAAATTACTACAATAGCTGTTTTTAACAGTGCTAAGTAAATCCTGTTTTAAAAGCCAAAGGTTATTTTCAGTTGTGCTTTTTTCTATGTAGTATGTCACAATGAAGGATTCCTAGTGCTGTGACCAAGTCACCTCTGCTCACAGCAAGCATGGCTCACTCTGGGGCATGGCCACATTCCCACATGGGAATGATATATGTTTGTGGATGTCACTGGTGACAATGTCCAAATCTGGGCTGGGGCATTTCCCTCAGCCAATAAACCAGGGAGCACACTTCTGTAAAATAACTGCATTCACTGAGAAAAGAGAGTACACTACGATGTCCATGAAAATCAGCAAAGTAAATCAAATCAATAGGGTTAAAGTTGCAGTTAGGAATCTGCATTTCTACAGGGAAATTTTAGGATAGCCACAAATCAAAAAAACATTTACTTTTTGTTGTTTTTTTTTTTTTTTTTCCTTAGAAGGCAATCAATCTTCTGATTTGGCTATTCTCTACTTTTCCCTATAAAGTAGAACTTACAGATACACTCAGAAAATATGTATGGAAGTACCTCTCAACTAAAAAATATTATTACTCCGAAGATCGAAACATGACTGTCTACACTGCGTGAATTACACATATATGAATTAGGACACAGACCCTTCCATTCTTTAGTAACAAAACTGATGTCCTGAAAATGACATTAATGAATGAGACTGGTATATGAAAACCAGTCCTTCTGCATCCACTCTAGGGATAGGAATGAGGATGTTAAATGATGCAGCAGACAAGGAGGATGCACTGCTTAGGGAAACTGAATGTCACTTCTGTGCTTAAAGAGTTCTGCAGTTTGGATGAAGGTCACAGGTTATCTCCAGATACACAAAAATGAGTGATAAATACACTGTTTCTCTTAGATTGAAAGCAGAGCTAGAAAAAGATTATTAAAATAAGGAATATTATTAAAAAATCATCCCCTGGATTTCTAAAGATGGCAATCTTCTATTAGAAGACTGTTACCTCCTCCATATATTAAAGCTATAACATAATAATAAAAGCACCTCAAACTTGTAGAAGTATTGAAGAGGCATAGATTAAGTAAGGTCTATGCAGAGAGAGCACCCTAAAAACATCACAAGAGCAGTGACAATTTCTGGGATAGTAATGACATGAATCAGAATCTAGAAGTTAAGTATAAGTGAAGAAGAGAATTTTTCAACTAATGGATCAGGGAAAATGTGGGAATAAAGGATGAGCTATGTGATTAAAGATCACAGTGTATTATATTAACACAGGTGGAGAATATATGAATTTAATTCTGTATTACAACATATTTCAACTGAACTGTGTGTAGTTTTAGTTTTATATGTGCACGATTTTTTTTAACACATTTTTAGAATGGGGAAACACAATAAAGGAAATGCATTGTATTGCATTGATCCCCACATGACTCACCGGAATATCTTAACATTTTCAGCACAGATTCCCACTTCTTAAGATGAAAACACAGAGAAGATGAAAACACGTAACTGCCATTAAGAGAAGTTCTAAAATTTTAATTGCTGTCTGAACACAAAGGAGCTGTGACATGCTGTGGTTTTTTTTATGCACTCCTGCAGTTAGAGACACATCTTTAACTACCCTACCCTCTCCCTCTTCCCCATCCACCACTGACTGATGCAGCTGGGAGATTCAGTAACTGCAGAGCAAAATCTTGCCTACTTTCAGCTCTCCTGCCCCAGCAAATGCTCATCTTTTCTGGGAAGATGGACCTATGCCATAATCACACTGCACCTTGAAGAGAATGAAACCTTCCCTTCAGACACATGCATGTGACCAGGTTTTTGGAACTGCCTGATGTTGCCAGTTTTCGTCTGTTTTACACAAAGAAGGGAAAGAACCTTGTATTTTCCTCCTCATGGTATTTCAAGTCTTAATTCCAAAGAAGAGAGATGCCAGGACTTGTCAGTGACATGACTAACAATTTTATGAGGACTGGCAAGACAGTTCATTTCTCCTACATCCTACTCACAGAAACCTTGGAATTATTTTGT